ACATAAGCTATCCTACGCAGGTCACTTTGTATGGGTCAGATCGCAATCAAATGCATACCGATTCTGAGTGGAAGCAGAGTGCACGCCTCATCCCGAGAAAGGCTGAGCGACTGCGACTTGATTCTCCTCTTTTTAGGCAATGAAATGGGGTGTGAGTTACGACACCGAATTCTTCTAGTCCAAGGACCCTCCAACGTTTTCAGTACTTAGTGAACGCTAACTAGATGTCATAATGAAATTAACAAAGATACATTTCAACCAGAGAAAAGTATTTAATTGCTCATACAACATAGCAAAATAACATACAAATTGCTGAAGATCAGCAAGACAACAGTAACCCATAACAATTTAATAACTTCATGAGATCCGTTCCTTCGGCTCCATAATGACAACGGAATTGCCACGAATGACAACCATTCCAAGCGAGACTGGATCGCCATTTTTCGGGTATTCGATCGCATCCTGGAACCAGAATAGTGAGATTAGGATTCACTTACAAGTTGTTTGATGCTATCACTGAAAAAAATGATTTACTTTCTAAAACAATCAGCATTTATCTAATAAAAATGCTGAAAACCACACTTGACAGATGACTGGAGAATTGTTACCCTATCTTACTTCAGAAAGAGCATAATAATAGAAGAAATAAGAACATAATGAACAATAAAGAATAGGAGAATAGCGAGACTTATCGGAGACTTCAGGTTTATGAACGGACCCCAATAAGTCTCGCTACTCCTTCTCCAGTACTAAAAACAAATCTGATAAAAAGTCCTGCAACACATCGCGCAGCTTTTTAACCTTCCTATCCCGGGGATGGGAGGAACGTAGCTGCGTAATTCAATTGGATTTGGCGGCGAGTGCACTTTTGGTGGGATATTCCCGCTCTGGAGCAACTGCAGTAATGTACTAGTCCACGAGAAGACAGGGTCATAGTTGCCCAGATGGAAATGTTCAACGAAAAACGCACCCTGTGACTTGCTCACAGAAATCCGCTGCCACGCCTTCCCCATTAGTGGGACATGAAGTCCTGGACGTATATTCTTCCCTCGAAAATTAGTTCAGAGAAAATTACAAGCCTAAGGAGTATCTTCTGACAGCTTTTCGGGACTGTCATCCCTGAATTCCGCCGACTAAAGAGAATCAGCGTTCCACCGTTCTACACCTCTTTAATTTTCTAGCTGATGCACTAGTGTCATACCTTGGTGGTAGTCAGAAGCTGCTAATGCCAACGAGTATACTGTGCGTGTGGCGATACCCTTCAGTCGATACCTACACAATAAACCATATTCGGCATGCTATCTTGGCACATGTGAGCCCGGCATGCCACGAATTCGAAAGATATTTGGTCTTTCCGAAGGAACTTCACACATGACGTCGGCCATCTTGCGAAGTTAACCGGAATAGACTATGAGATCTTTGCTGCAAAAACACAAGCAGCCTTCGCAGTCTAATCAACAACACATTAGAACTTCCTCCAAGTTGTTTTAGTCTGACAGATGAGAGTATAATAACGTAATGCATAACGCAGATAACGCAACCGCCCAAGCGGGAGATGCAGGTTCGGTTCCCGCCTGAGGTGACTTTTGTCTATAACCCAGCCCTCTTGTGATAACTTCCGCCAAGTAAAGGAGCTTCAGACATTGAAGGGGCTTATATCCTTGAGAGAACCATGAAGCTCACGTGAGTGATACGCAGGGCAACCAGTTATCGCTACCAGTCACTAGGTTTGCTCAAAAGTTCTGCCCAAGCGTGAGGATAAGAAAAAACTGGACCAAGTTCACTGGCGCAACTCATTCAACGCGAAATTAATGAACACAGCGTCGGATCAATCCATGGTTGATTGTGGTATGCTGTGCTTCAGGGGTTCGTGGAAGGGATTCTTTCAAAGTTTGCAATACTTTCTTTCCAATAGAAGAGAACTAATGAGCTATGTCATGCGAGAATGCTCATATCGGGCATTTCGTTCATCAAAGCATCGAGATTGTTGTTCGTTCAAAGGACCAAGCCCCTCAACAATGTCAGTTTTAATCGACAACCTATTTCACATGAAGATCTTTCCTAAATATCCCAGCTATTTGATGGAATTTCCATCCAGGTTCTCATTACATAGCAAACAGCACGTTTGAATACATAAACATACATAATATTCCGGAATTTTCTCAATTTTGTTACTGAATAATCATTACAGGTGTATGTATAAGTAAAAGATGGCGTAACCTGACTAGAACCACAACGTACCTCGATAACCATGTTCATAAAAGGATCAAATCCACGAAGAACACCGGACACACGACGATTGCCGTTCAATTTAAGCTCCATTTCTTTGTCCATGTATTTCTTTAACTCTGGCGGATGTGTCTTACTCATTTTCTAAAGAAAGCATTTCACAAAAGAGTACCGCTATTAGCAGAAGGAAACCAGAAGCGATAACAGAATGCGATTTCTTCCAAGACCCAATTCCTGGGTTTCTCGGCTGGAAAAAGAGGCCAATACGATAAAACATTCACAAATTATTTAGCGACGCGAGGACCACATTTGGAGGTCTACAATAAAAACATGACGCAAAAGAAAGAAAGAGCAATTTTCCAGTGAGCCACATGCATGCATGGATTCGAAATGAAGCGTCCGCAATTCGCAGTGGCGCATGCGCGACAACTCGTACGAACCAAAATCTGCCCGGGCACAGCGCCGATCTCCCTCCATTGTGTTTCTCCTTTTATTTTATTTGTGCTGTTCTTGTTCAGTGAAGTAGTGGAATAACGATATAGGTCAGGAATTCTGCGGCGTTACGCACGTGCTAAAAATGGCATTTTTCATTTTGTTAATACTCTAGGCTTTAATGTTGTGAATTGTGTTGTAATTTATTTTTTATAAATCTCGCAAATGTACCCCCTGGAGCTGTTCCAGTGAGGAGAGGATTTTGTTGCCATAGATCGTGCAGATTATGATAACGCCAGTTTGGCACAAGAAGCCCTACTCAACAAGCGAAATGTTACTAGCTGCGTCCCTTCCCTTTTTCTTACCTTTCTTCCCCTTCCCATTTTTTCATGCTGGA